ATTCAACTTTCTTATTGTTAGTTAATTCTTAAAAATAACACACATATTTTGGTGATGTTCCATGTTCTTTCAGGATCCAGAACAAGTAGACTAGTCTAAAATGATACTTCAGCAATCATTCAGGTATGTATATTTACTTTTCCACTTTTGTCTTCTAATGTGCTCTTTTCAGAAGATTCTTTCAGGTATCACTTTGGACCTTTTTATAAGGATGTTTCACAATAACGTGAATCAGAGGTAAAGAGAGCAGCTGTTGACTGACTGACAGAGTATTCCGTGGTCTTTTTTCATTTTTCATTTTGGAAAACTGGGCGAGAGAGCAGTCCGAATATCTGCAGAGAGTGTGTGGAATCAATATCCCTGTTAGGTCAATATCTTTATTTATTCAACTCAACGGCACAAAATAAAATGCAATATTTTTTTTTTGACCTCCTTGATAAACATTTCCGGAAAGTTTTCATGCAGTTTTGTGCTTTGTGATTAGTTTCAAAAATAGATTGTCCTTCAGTCGATTTTGCAACTGTCCTTTCAAATATATTGTTGATGATGGAGTTTGAGTGGACATTTTGCTAAAGCCTTTCTCTTACAGGATACACCAAAAGTTAAATTCTAAGAAGCAGTAAAAAGAAACTCAGAAAATGAAGATTCCGCTCTTTCCTAAGCTAGCAACTGAATGCTCCCTGTGGATCTGGTTAAAAGAGGGAAGAGAATCCCGGAAATTGGTTTTACTGGTTGTGTTTGTGGCTCTGCTAGTAGACAATATGCTTTTCACAGTGGTGGGTATGTAGTGTTTTGGTTTGCTTGTTCCTCTTTGGAGTTTAATTAAATGTGCTGGCTTTTAATATCACTGTTACCGTATAGTGCAGTGATGGCGAACCTTTTAGAGACCGAGTGCCCAAACTGCACCCCAAAAAACCACTTATGCATCGTCGGGTGCCAGATGGGTGTGGCCCATTGGCTGGGTGTGGCCCATTGGCTGGGCGTGGCTGCGGTGGTAACGGCAGACTGGGTGGGACTAAAAAGTTCAATCAATCAATTCCAACTTTGCAAGATCTTTTTTTTCCCCGCGAGAAGTTGAAATTGACTGATTGATTGAACCTTTTTTTTTTTTTTGCACACGGCGGGGGAGACCTAAAGCGAAAAGGGTTTATAAAACCCAGCTGAAGGCCTAGGACTGTGGCAACAGTGCGTGTGCCCACAGAGAGGGCTCTGAGTGCCACGTCTGGCACCCGTGCCATAGGTTCGCCGTCACTGGTATAGAGCTTTCCCTCACTGCAAGAGCTTATTTCAACAGCCACTTCTTAGTAGTAGCCATTCAATTTACCCAGAATTCCCTGATACATCATTCGAGGGCATTCTGGGAAAAATAATATGGCTGCCAGTGGGAGTGATATTTATTGCCGTATATGTTCATGTCATGTATAAGCAGATAGCCTTATTAATTACCGTATATACTTGTGTATAGGCAGACATGCCAAGCCACATTTTTCATGGTACAGTATATTGGTTAAAAAAATCAAGAGTCTGCTTATCTGTGGATGGGCTTACATGGGAAATATGGGTAGTGTCGTTCAAAGATGTGCCACCATATGTACTTGTGGATAAGCCCATCTGTAAATAAGCCAAAGCCAATTTCGGGGGTGCATTTTGGCATTTAAAATGTTCAACTTATCGGCATGTTTAGACAGTGTTTGACGGCCATCCTCCCAAATCTAATCAGATTGCCCTGGAATATTGTGAGTGTGTAAGTCAGGGGTGGCCAACGTTGGGAATTTTAAGACTGGTGGACTTCAACTCCCAAAATTCCCCAGCCAGACATGCACAAGTCTTAAAATTGCCAAGGTTGGACACCCCGGTGTATGCGTTTGTGTGCATAGATTTTAAAAAAAAGCAGTTGGTAGGAGGCAGAAAGCAATACATTTAAGACAAAGACAAAAACCAAAAAAGCAAACATGTTTTTGCAGGACAAATATTTTCTCACTTTTTTCTTTCTTTTAGTGCCAATCATCCCTTCATTTCTATATGCCACACACAAAAATATCAGCCACTCTGCAATTTGGGCCACAGTTCCTGTGCCTTTCTCAGCTGATCCCTCTGCCTTGGGCTTCTTGGACTATAACAATATCACAATGACAGTCTCAAGCCACGATGCTCTAGCCAGTGTCACTGGGAGCCAAGAAGGAACGGTTGCCCCTCATTTCCTCATGGATGCTTTGAACCACAGCTGTACAGATAGATCGGACTCTCTTTCAGAGGAAAATGTTCGCGTTGGGCTGCTCTTTGCCTCAAAAGCTTTGATGCAGCTCCTAGCAAATCCCTTTGTGGGACCCTTGACCAACAGGTAGGTCAGCTTTTAAATAAACCAATCGGGAAGACTTTCTGTACTGCAACACACTCAACTTGCAAACTTTCCAAACACCTAATACCTAATTTGATCTGATGTTAGATCAACCTAAGGATTTCAGGAAATGAAAATCATGTCCCCTACTATGATGGGTGTTCAGACACATAGTGGAAAATCTTCTGTTTCCTCCTCCTTCCCTGTCGTTCAAGAAATATTGTGAAGTAGCTTGTGTTGGTGGACAGTAAACTCAAAATCATTTTTTTTTTTGGTTCCTGTAGGATAGGATACCATATCCCCATGTTTCTTGGATTTGTTATTATGTTCGTCTCTACGCTCTGTAAGTATGAACACCTACACAACATGTGTCTCTTCCAATGTCGCCGGATTTGCTCTACGTATGGGAGTAGAATACAACAGTGCTTTGTTTATTCCATCCAATGGAGATGTGAATAATACAGAAGCCTGTTTTTTTTTAATTTTAGAAAGTGTGCAGAGAAGAGCAACAAAGATGATGAAGGGTCTGGAGGTTAAATCGCACGATGAATAGTTGAGGGAGATAGATCTAGCTAACCTATCTAAAAGCAGAATTAGGAGGGACATGATAATGTCTTCCAGTACTTGCGGGACTGTCACCGAGAAGCACCACAAGGCAGGACAAGAAATAACGGGTGGAAGCTTGTTAAGGATAGATCCAATTTAGAAGTAAGAATTTTCTGACAGTGAGAACAATGAATCAGTGGAACAGTTTGCCTCCTGGAATCTTGGGTGCTCCATCACTAGAGGTTTTAAAGAATAGACTGGACAATCATTTGGGATGGTATAATGGTATAATGGTCTCCTGCCTTGTGCAGGGGATTGGACTAGACTACAAGACCTTTGAAACCCCTTCCAGTCCCATGATTCTATGTTCCTGGAATAATATTGAATAGTTTTGGTTCTGGGGCAGGCAATCTAGCGTCCTGTAAATATTTTGGTCTCCAAACCCATAATATCTTAGTTATATTGACTGGAGATGCTGGGAGATTAAAACATTAGAACAGCTCAGTTCGCTTCATCTTGATATTTGTCCAATATAATTCAATAAAATATGTAACCAGAATTTCAATGCCCCTTCTGTCTTTAAATGTTTGTTATTTTACAAAGGACTGTTATTACTCAATGAGTCTATTGATGTGAATGGATAGCTATCAGTTTCTGCTTTACTTCTCATTTCCCAGTATAAAATCAGTGTTGGCTTAGGCTTCCGTCAATTTATTTTCAGAAACTCTACCTGAAAATTCCAGCCTATGCATTTCTTCTCATCTGCATTGCTGTATGTAATTTTTCCCCTGTATGACACTTCTTGCAAGTAATCTTCCCCTAATGTAATCCATTTTTATTCTTACTTCCTTTCGTATAACTTTTTTGCTTTGTTCCGAACGTTGTAAAAAACAAAATCTGAAAAATGCAGGTTTTGGCATCCATAAAGGCATTGAGGTTCGTGAATTGCTTTGGCCTAAAACAGACCAATTCATGAAGTGCAATCATTTAGCAACGAGGCATGGAAGTTCTTGCCAGAAGTCCTTTTTTCCCACCAAAACATGCACAATTCCAGTAATCCGATTCTGCACCCTTTTTCTTCCTTTAGTGTTTGCTTTTTCCAGGAGCTACACCTTGATGTTCATCGCTCGCGCCCTGCAAGGCTTTGGTTCTGCCTGCTCATCTGTTGCAGGTAAACATACTGGCAGGTATTACTGGCAATGCCGCAAATCTCACACAGCTGGGACAACATCCTGGATTGCCAGGAGGCACTTATTTATTTGTTAATTAAATAGATTTATGCGGCTGTCCAACTCATACATGGTGTCTCCGGACGGCACATTGCATTAAAAACCCACAATACAAAACCTCCAGAAGTTCCCTCACTGTTTCCAGGATGGCTTCGCGGGCCACATGAAACCACTTCGCGGGCCTCATCCGGCCCCCGGGCCTTGTGTTTGACATGTCTGAGCTAAGTGATGTGAATAGCAATAATCCAGGACTCCAGCCTGGCAACTTTCCTGTCCATGGCTGGAGATACCAAACTTAAACAAGGACTTTCACTTTCAAGATGTAAAGAGGGACTATCTTTTCCCCACTTACAACCTCCTAACCCATCACAGTGAGAAGGCACTGTTGCAGGCCTAATGGAGCCTAGAAAAGGGGCTTTCTCTGTAGTGGCTCCTTCCCTTTAGAACATCATCCCTCCAGAAATAAGGTTGGTTCTCTCCTTGCTACTTTTCTGGAAGGCCCTGAAGACATGGTTTTTTTTGTCAGCCAGCCCGGGGACTCCAGGTTGATTAGGAGCTGATTGTGTGGCTTGTATGATCATGTTTGCAGCGAGGAGTGGGGACTTCTGGAGGTTTTGTATTGTGGGTTTTTAATGCAATGTGCCGTCCGGAGACACCATGTATGAATTGGACAGCCGCATAAATCTATTTAATTAACAAATAAATAATCTTCAATATTGGGGCAGATTTGGGGGGAACATTGGGGGAGCATACTTTCTCCCTTATCGCAGATGAAATTACAGCTTCCACAACAGCTGGTGGGGAAGAGCAGGGGAAAAGAAGAATTCCATAAACCGTGTTTCACAGGTAGCTTCAGTCTTTCACTTCTGCACAGTGCAATAACGCTAACCCTAACCTGTGGCTTTTTCCAGCAAACTCAGAACTGATCGGCTTTGCTCTGTCTCTGCCTGCAGGTCTGGGGATGCTTGCAAGCGTGTATCCCGATGACTGTGAGAGGGGAAATGCAATGGGAATCGCATTGGGAGGTCTGGCTTTGGGAGTGCTTGGTGAGTAAATGTACGCTTAATACTGTTTAGGGCATCTAGGAACTCACGCAGAGCTCACTCTGGTGTATCTCCCTAGCTATTTCCATTTAGGACTCTGTTTGTTATCCAGTTGGCTTCGTCTGTAGTTCTCTGGTAGCAAGTAAGACATTTCCCAATAGCTAAGCTGGAAAAACGTAGATTTGCTGTACATCCAAATAGGTGTCTGCATGTAAGCACGGCCTACTATGGATTACTGTATTGCTCAGCATTCCTGGAAGAGAACAAGTGAAGAACATTGGAGTGTATCTCAAGAGTAGATACTCCTAATAAGATCACCCAAAGCATGAAGCTTACTTAGTTCTCCCCCAAACACAAGCAGGGATCTATATTGAGTGGCATGGATATAGAAAAATACTGGAAGGTGACCACCTTAGTGATAATAGCAAAGGCATCATTTTCAATCTGCTGGGAGAAGGCAATGATAAACCATTCCTGTATTTGACCAAGAAAACTAAATTCCTGGACAATATATTGGATGATGCTCAACACGCTACTGTGGAGCAGCTGAAGTTCTTTTGGAGTATTAGTGGTGTTTATGATGCATATTGTTGGCGATATTTTTTATCTATTTGTTTATTAAATTTAAATGCTGCCCATCTCACTGACAAGGTGACTCTGGTAGGGCTATGTTGATATGCAGGAAGAGAAAATCCAAACCACCCAAAACCAGAATTGAGGTGGGAACATGGAATGTTAGAAGCATGAACATGGAGACGTTCAACACAGTCAAAGATAAAATGAATTGACCACACACTGACAGGTATCAATGAACTGAAATAGATTGGAGCTGGAAACATTTAGTCAGAAGATCAGACTGTTTACTACATAGCACAACAACAGTGGCAACAAAGAAGGAACGTTGTAGCTTCGATCGCCAGAAAGAATATACTGTAGAAAAGACAGTTCTTGGCTGTAATGAAATCAATGGCCAAATATTATCAGGTAGACTTGGTGGACAACCCTTGCCTAAGTTATCCACTGATGCAGAAGACAAGGAAGTTGATGAGTTTTATGGTCAAGTTCAATCACATCCTACAAAGAAGGTGTGTTTTTACAGTATGATTCTATTGGAAACTAGCTGTACCCGGCCACGCGTTGCTGTGGCTCAGTCTGGTAAAAGCGTGTGTTGCTTTTACGTCCAACATATGGCACTGTTTTTCAAAAAAACATGTTTTTAACCTGTCACAGGTGTGACATCAATATAATATAGGTATATAAAAACACGCGCGTATTCGAATGCAACGTTGTGTCAAAATTTCAAAGCAATCGGTGAAGAACTTTCGGAGATTTAAGATTTTGAACAAACGAACATTTACATTTTTATTTATATAGAAGATAATAAAGGGGTTGGACAGTATGGCCTAGAAAAGAGAAATGAAGCAGGAAAAGAACCGTTTACCAAGCAAATAACCCCAAATGCAAAGTGGTCTATCTTCATAGATTTGTTTTTTATTATGTGTATTTTCATATGAGCCCCGCTGATGTGTTTTCTTTGTAGTGGGAGCTCCATTTGGAAGTGTGATGTATGAGTTTGTTGGGAAATCATCTCCTTTCCTGATTCTGGCAATCCTGGCTCTCTTAGATGGAGGTAAGTCATCCTTTGAAGTGGTCGGGTCAGGGCCCACCTTGAATCATTAAGCTGAAAAGGATGACTCCAGCTGCCATTTTTTTCTGTGAAATAAACACTACCCAGCATAGTGGGGCTTACTTCTCAGAAAACATCCGAAGAAGAGGGCAGGGTCAAGGGAGAACTGAGCTACTGAAGCAGGGAACAGGAACAGAAGTAAGGTTCAGCATAATGAGTAGGAAAGATGGAAGGATATTTCCAAGCCCGAAATAATAATATTTCTGTTTTAGCTTTGCAGCTTTGTATCTTGCATCCAACGAAGATTTCACCTGAGGTAGGGCAAAAATACCCCTTCATGTTTCCTTTCATGTATGTACTAAAATATTTTTTTTTACCCTACTTGTTGATGCAAAGGATCTACACATCTATTTGCTTCTGTTTTTTTCAATGCAAAATAAAATGATTGTTTAAAAAAAGAATAATCTAAAACATCAGAATAGGAGCTATAAAAGCAAGAGCAAAGCAAGCATTTTACTCTAATAAAGCAGAATCTTTTCTGCAACCCCCCCCAACTAATATCTTCCTCTTCTCTGTGTATTTTCCAGAATATCAAAGGGACTTCCTTGTTGACCTTGTTGTGGGACCCCTATATTTTGATTGCAGCAGGTAAGTTTTCTTGCCTCTGTTATGGGCATTTGGTTTTGAGGATACAATACCTGTCTTCTACACTTAGCTTCTGTGGAATTGAGGTGGGTTTAGAAAAGATTCTTCCGATAAGCACCACCATTGCTTATTATTTCTGGTCCTGCCTGCTGGAACAACACAGCATAAACGCATGGTTGGCTGCCGTACAGTTGAAGATGGTTTTACACCTCTCCAAGCAAAATGCACTCTACTCTTTCTATCGTCCCATGCAGCAAATCAGAGAGTCTAAAGAGGGTATTTGTAGGAGAAGAGCAGGCAGAGCCGGGGGCAGAGTTAAGCGAGTTATCAGCCTAGAGTCGTTTTGTTCCCACAAATGGTCTCAATCCGTCCCGTCTTGAATTCTCTTGACTCTTATCTAGTACCAATTAAGTGCTGAATGTTAGTTGACTAGATTCTTGTGTATAGGCTCGAGCAATACATCTTCTTCACTGCAACTTATGATCCTGATTCTTCGCACCTAACCGTATTAGGTCATTGCGTACAGTGCAGATTTCCAAATTAATTGCTGTCTAACTTCTCATTCAAGCACATCCAATAAACGAGAGCTCAGCCCTGTGTAGAAGACTCCATTGTCAAACTAATAGAAGAATTTGAAGGAAGTCCTTCCTAAAATTCTCTCTGCCTGAAAGGGGTTATCTCCTATTTTACATTTGCCCTCTTGGGCTAAGCCATGGCTGCATTTCTTGGCCTTTTTCTCTAGGATATCCTTTTAGTTACTCAACAAGTGCTATCATGTCCACTTTCACTTGGGGTTTTGCAAGTCCAAGAACATTCAGTTCCCTCCCATCCATTGTCATTGCCCTCCAGTCTCCCAGTCATTCCAATAGACTAGAGCAGGGGTGTCAAACTCAATTTCATCAGCATTGCGGTTGCCCTCGTGGGTGGGTGTGGCCAGTATGGGTGCGGCCTACTGGGTGGGCGTGGATGGAGTGAGTGTGGCCTACTGGGTGGGCATGGCCAGCTCTACATCGTTCCCGTCAAGGGTGCCTGTGGGGGCCTGGGCAGGAGTGGGACAGATCTGAGGGTCTCTGGCAGAAGGGGGTGGGACCGGGGCAAGTGCCAAGGCATGGTCCATTTCTTCATTCCTCACAAAGGCTGACATCTCCCCAGCATGTACCCAGGGGGTGGGGCCAATGCGGCAGGGGCTGGTTCCTCGCTGTTTCCAGACGGTCTTGTGGAGCTAAGACTGAATGCGTTTCAGCATAGATGGCCACCACAAAATTGTACATTGGCTCCCGGCTGGCCTGGGCCAGGGCCAAGGCAGCGGGGGCCGTTCCCTCACTGTTTCCAGGATGGCTTTGCGGGCCACATGAAACCACTTCGCAGGCCGCATCCGGCCCCCGGGCCTTGTGTTTGACATGTCTGCAATACAGCCTTTCTTTCCATCTATGTTTTACTTTCCTCACGTTTTTCTTCAGATGTGATGCTCTCAACTGCACACTGTAATTGGGGTGGGAGTCTGCCCGATGCTCTGCCAACCGGAAGAAAACTCACGAAGGTTCTGCATCTTTTCTCTCCCTCCAGGTTCAATTTGCTTTGGAAACATGGGAGTTGCGATTTTAGAAGCTACCTTGCCCATTTGGATGATACAAACCATGTGCTCCCCAGAATGGCAACTGGGTAATATTTTTTTTTTTTTAAAAAATAATTTTCATAGGAATTGGATGGTGATAAAATATGTTTAGGTTAATTTAGCGTTTAAATTTTACACTAAATACACCATATATTTAAAATAAGCTCAAGAGGACTTCAAAACCATTTGTGTTTCTCGGGGTGGACTTGGTTTTTGAATGGCAAGCTGAAAGCCATAATTAGCAGATGGGTCAGGAGTCAAAATTAGCAGATGGGTCAGGAGTCAATCTAGATTTGTTTTCGTTCTGTTTATATTTAATTAAAATGAAAAAGATAATTTCCTCTTTTATCTAATGAAAAGCATTCAGTGGGAATTGGAAAGGAACTCTGGGATTGGCATTGTATTGTATCTTTGATGCATCAGCTTTGAATAAGTTGGAAGAACCGTGTCTTCTTTCAGTGGGAATTGGAAAGGAACTCTGGGATTGGCGTTGTATTGTATCTTTGATGCATCAGCTTTGAGTAAGTTGGAAGAACCGTGTCTTCCTTCAGTGGGAATTGGAAAGGAACTCTGGGATTGGCGTTATATTGTATCTTTGATGTATCAGCTTTGAATAAGTTGGAAGAACCGTGTCTTCCTTCAGTGGGAATTGGAAAGGAACTCTGGGATTGGCGTTGTATTGTATCTTTGATGCATGAAGGTTGGCCATTAGCTTTATCTGGACAGGAAGTAATATAATAAATTTCCTGTTTGGGCTGCAGCTTTGCCCAAACCACAGTAATCTTTCTAATGCTTGTATGAGTTTGTGTGTCTCTCAGTTTTATTCCTAGCCTCATACCTGTCTGCCTTATCCTTCAGTCTCACCCAAGCAGCAGCACAGGTAGACTCCTGTGTGCTGATGCATGTGAGTAGTGCAGTATTAATTAAAAAAAGAGGGTCTTCCTTCATCTGTTAATGAAAGCTGATTCAGTCCAGAGAGAAAGAAAAAGAAAGAGTGAAATCTGGGCCTATGGCCATTGAAGAGTTCCCTACTGATTAAAGAAAATGCTTCTTTAGAGGCAGAAGGATGGTGACTCAGCCTATGGCAATTATGTGCCACCATGGAGATGGAATAATGAGATGAAATAGCTGTCTTGTGCTGTAAAAGGCATTGAAATTGAATTTATGGAGGAACAATGCTTTCTCTGTGACACTTTCTGCCACAACAATTGAATTGCTACCTTGGCTCAGCAGAGTGATTGAGGGCTGCTAATCAGTTTAAAAAGCCAGCCAGGAGGAACCCTTGATAAGATGGAGGATCTGTGAGGATGACTTGCCATCTTCTTTTTGCCTTTCAGAAAAACAGCAGGGGAGATGTGGGTGAGGTTGTTGTCAAGAGGATGGCAAGAAAATAGGGGTGGTGATGGTGAAGAGATGCCCATTCCGAGCCTGGAGGCAACATCCATGCAGGGCAAAGTTCTCCATAGTCTTCCTAGATCTGTGCTCCCCTAGTTTTGTAATACCATCCCATTATTTTTTCCATGTCCATTCTCCCTATTTTTATGTCCCTTGATATTTGTTTCGCTCCACTTGTGCATGGCATCTTTGTTTTATCCTGAATGCCTTTGGCAGAATCTATGTTGATTTTCTTATAATATTAATAATAATAATAACAACAACAACAACAGCAATAACAGCAACAATAATAATAAAGTTGAAAGGGACTTTGGAGGTCATCTAGTCCAACCCCCTGCTCAGGCAGGAAACCCTATACCAGTGATGGCGAACCTTTTAGAGACCGAGTGCCAAAACTGCAACCCAAAACCCACTTATGCATCGTCGGGTGCCGGGTGGGTGTGGCCCATTGGCTGAGTGTGGCCAATTTGGTGGGTGTGGCCCATTGGGTGGGCGTGGCTGCGGTGGTAACGGCAGACTGGGTGGGATTAAAAAGTTCAATCAATCAATTGATTTTTCCCCGCGAAAAGTTGAAATTGGCTGATTGATTGGACCTTTTTCTTTTCACACGGTGGCGGAGGCCTAAAGGGAAAAGGTTTTATAAAACCCAGCTAAAGACCTAGGACTGGGGCAATGGCATGCATGCCCACAGAGAGGGCTCCGAGTGCCGCCTCTGGCACCCGTGCCATAGGTTCGCCACCACTGCCCTATACCATTTCAGACAAAATGAAAACAATAAATCTGGGGTCCCCAATTAATAAGACTCTGAGCAGTTCCTTTGATCACTACCAGAAGGAACATTCTCTGCAGTGCATTAATCATCTAAGGCAGGGGTGTCAAACTGCCGGCCCGCCCCAGTTCAGGTGATGTGGCAAGTTTGACACCCGTGATCTAAGGGTAGCTGAGAAAGCCGACATTTCAGGACCATGGATAGCCCCACAGTGACAACTTGCATCCCTAGTTTTTCTCTCTGGTGCTTCCCTCTTCCTAAATAAACTTTGGGGGGAAATGGAACAATGCTTTGATTTTGAGCCAAATGGCGCATTAATTTGTTTGCGTGATTTATAAAACTGTCCATCTCACAGCAGTGACTCTGGATAGTGTACATAGATTAAGATCACCACCACTATTTATAATCCATCACACCCTGATTAAAACAACAACCTCTTAAACAACAGGCACATCACCTGCAGAAACTCCTGGCCCTTGTCCACCAATTGTCATTGTTTCCTGTACAGAAGTCCAAATCCTTGCTTGTTACCATGTTCAACTGAGTGATCGGAACTATGGTTTTTCTTAATCAATTCTAATCTATAGAGTGAAGATGAAAAAAAAAGTGAGAGTGGAACTAGGATGAATTTCTTGGAGAAAGGAAAGACTAAACATGTATTAATTTTGCTTAACAATTGAAAGAGCAATGAATGGGATCTAGATTTCATACCATTTAGAGTAGACCAGGGCTTTTTTTGTCATAGAACGCCCAGAAACGGAGTTCTGGCACCTTTTTTGGATGGAACCTTGTAAGGTAGGCAAGGCGGGTTGTATGACGTGTGTGAGTTCCGGCACCTTTTTTTTTTTTAGGAAAAAAGCACTGGAACAGACTAATTGAAAAAAAAAAAACCTTCCACAAAGTGATATCTCGGATAGCTCAGACTGTTTTTTTCCAATGGATGGGGAAGATATGAGTTGCACTTCAGCACCATCTTAGCTATAAAAGAATCATATTTCATCTCATATTCAAGGATCTCCAATCCACAATTATAAATATCAAAACACTTTTGTTTGTTCCTTTTACTGGAAAAAACCTCATAATTATATACACTAGATCTTCAACATGAAATGTAAATACATTGAAAAAGTATGCTATAAAATCAGGATGACACGATTGGCTGACATTTACATACTGAGTACATTTTTTTGTTTTTAATTTGCTCAACCTGCTGTTTCTTAGCAAAATGAAAAGAGTGTAAATTTCCCCAGAGGACCTGCAAAACAAGTAGAAAATCTAGGAAATTAAACACCAATGATTGAGTTTCTATAAGCCCATTGTGTCATTTTCAGGCAAACAAGAGATGCTGGTGATAACATCTGTCATTTGCAGGAGAATAAATTAATGATAAGGAACTGCCTGTCAAATATTTAATTTTGGTTCAATTATAACTGAAAAGCAAATTACTCTTCTGTTGGTGCAACGTGTAAACTAGAAATAAGGGAGGAAGGGATGGGCTTAATATAGGTCAATGCCTGCAAGGACCTGACCATGAAACTTGTTTTGAATACAATGGATGTTATGAAGCACTAGATAAATTTTGCAGTTCAGGCAGGAAGTAGCTATCTCTTAGCAACTGGATGCTGCCTCTAAAGAATCATCACGCTTAGTATCTTTTGTTAGAACTTTGCTCCATACCTTGTCTATTTTCAATTGAACACCAAGTTTTTTTTATAGGACAATCTGCAATGACACCCTGGTTCCTTGTTTTTATTGAAGAATATGTCTGTTGTGTAAGACCGATTGATGTACATACACACAAACACCCACCTACACAATAGGATTCCAAGCAAAGGTTCAGGAGAGACTCCTGCCCTTTGAAATGCTGTGATGCCTTCCTTTCAAATGGGTCCTCTTTTGTTTTGCAGGGATAGCTTTTCTGCCTGCCAGTATCTCTTATCTAATTGGGACCAATCTCTTTGGGATACTGGCCAATAAAATGGGGCGGTAAGTAAAAAGGTTTTTGAATCTTGAAGTACTTGAGCTATTGTTGCAGTTTTTGAAGGTGTTGTCATGGAGGAAGGAGTAATTTTTGGGAGTGTTTCCTTTGTGAAGTAGATTAAACCAGGATCTAATCTAATCTAATCTAATCTAACCATATCTATCTATCTACAATATCTATCTATCTATCTATCTATCTATCTATCTATCTATCTATCTATCTATCCATCCATCCATCCATCCATCCATCCATCCATCCATCCATCTATCTATCTATCTATCTACAGTATCTATCTATATCCAGTTTTGGTCACCACGATATAAAAAAGAAGTTGAGACTCTAGAAAGAGTACAGAGAAGAGCAACAAAGATGATTAGGGGACTGGAGGCTAAAACATATAAGGAAAGGCTGCTGGAATTGGGTATATCTAGTTTAATGAAGAGAAGGACGAGGGGGGACATGATAGCAGTGTTCCAATATCTCAGGGGCTGCCCCAAAGAAGAGGGAGTCAAGCTTTTCTCTAAAGCCCCTGAAGGCAGGACAAGAAGCAACGGATGGAAAGTAATTAAGGAGAGAAGCAACCTAGAACTAAGGAGAAACTTCCTGACAGTTAGAACAATTAACCAGTGGAACAACCTGCCTCCAGAAGTGGTGAATGCTCCAACACTGGAAGTTTTTAAGAAGAGACTGGACAGCCATTTGTCTGAAATGGTATAGGGTTTCCTGCCTGAGCAGGGGGTTGGACTAGATGACCTGCAAGGTCCTTCCAACTTATTATTATTATTATTATTATTATTATTATTATTATTATTATTATTATTATTATTATTATTACTACTACTACTACTACTACTACTACTACTACTACTACTACTACTACTGTCTGTCTGTCTGTCTGTCTGTCTGTCTGTCTGTCTGTCTGTCTGTCTATCTATCTATCTATCTATCTATCTATCTCTATTTATCATCTCCATCCATCCCTAGCCAACTACTCAACCCCAATCTACTCATCTATCCATCCATCCCTTATTTATCTTTCCTGCAATATTTAGCTTGCCTAAAGATCTACTTACCTACCTACCTATTGGTTAGAATTCCACAGAGAATTATTGCAGGTATTTCAGGACACTTCTGATAGGGGAATCCTATTGCTGATTTCTGCAAAGAAAGGTACCCCAGTATTGATGGCGTTATTGAATTTGCAAGATGAATCATTCAAACAGCCTTCGGAACTTTTGATATTGTTTGTTCATTGCCTTTCTTGCCAGCTGGCTGTGTTCATTGATTGGGATGATGGTCATAGGAGTCAGCCTCCTCTGTGTGAGTATGACAACACACTGCATAACCAGAAATGGAGAAACCAGGCAAAAAGCCCTAATTCCAGATTAATACCTGCCAACATTGTCGCAGGTAGCACAGGCATTTCAAAGAAGATATGGAGGTGGCAGCCTGGATCTTAACAGAATTTTATGAGAAAAGATATATACCAGTAAACAATGGAAAAACATGGGAAAATTGAAAAGTGAAGGAAAAAGACTCCTTCCAATCTTTCACCCATTTCTCGTGTGATTTTCCCATCCTATGCCACCCGTTTCTTCTTTGGACCTTCATGGTTCTAGTCCAGTGAATTCCTTCAAAGTAACTAGAATCTGACCTGGTTAAGACATAAACCTAACTAAGGAACGGTGTCTTATTTTGCTTAGTGTCTTATGCAAATCTACTCATTATAATTTAGAAACCATGATTTATTGTGTACTCTAGTTAGCTTTGTTAAACCATGGGTAAACAAATCATATCAAGGTGGGATATGCCAGGAGACTGATAGAAAAAAAAATACACTTTGAGGGTTTTCCAAAAGGCTTTGAGGGCTGGAGCTGACCTCACCTTATTCTGTCTAGGGACTGAATGTTGCATCAATATTTCCGCTGCCTTAAGTTTTCATCAAAAATAAGAGATACTTTTATGACTTCTTCTGAGCCTTAATCCAGCCTTTCTCTTGTATAACCCTAGATTCCCCTGGCTCAGGATATCTATGGACTCATTGGACCTAACAGTGGACTTGGTTTTGCCCTTGGTAAGATTTTGAAAGAGTTGGTAGCCTGCACCAAACCAATTCAGGACAACTATCTTCAGCTAATTTTACTAGGTACAGATGGAGCTGAATTGTTTTAGAAAAGGAAGTGAAACTTTCCTGCAGTCAAGCCCATCTGAGGGATTTTATGGGCATGTTAATTCTTGGCAGAAGATTTCACTATGGGGGGTGGAGAAGAGTAACTTTTTTGAGGTTGAAAACTGAAGAGAACACAATTTCAGATGGTTTATGATGGCTACTTCATTCCAGCCTCAGAGAATATTTTGGAAGCATCGAGGCTTGTTGTTCATGAAACATGAATGGGGAATGAAATGCTATTTCTTATTGAGATCTTTTTGTTTTATTTCGGGGACAGGCATGGTGGATTCGTCAATGATGCCTATCATGGGGTACTTGGTGGATCTTCGCCACACGTCTGTTTATGGCAGCGTCTATGCCATTGCTGACGTGGCTTTCTGTCTGGGCTTTGCTATTGGTATGGACTAATATGCATCATGGTGATGTAAATTGCATTTTTGTTGCATCTACATGCTGGCAATTCCTAGGAGACTAATTTCTAACATGTGCATGACAGAAAAAGAATGAAAGCAAAAGCCAGATCTAGTTATGCTTTGAGGAGACTCATTCCAATCAACACAGAATGTTATCATGGATAACTTTTTAAAATGGATTTCAGTCAGTCTATGCATACATTAGGGAGGGAGGGAGGGAGGGAGGGAGAGAAAGAGAGAGACAGAGATGTTTAATTTGTTAGAACTAAGTTTGTAAGTTTTGAATTGATAAGATGCAATTTACTGGAAGACAGAGGCATGTGAATTATTATGATTTACTGTGTTGGTTACATCCTGCCATTCATACAGCAGCTGAAAGTGCTCTCTTTCTTTCCATTTCCCCACACAAAAGTAGGCTGGGCAGAGAGGGAGTGATTGGCCCAAAGTCAATCCCATGTTGATCCCATGACTGAATCTGATCTCCTCATGCTTAGTCCATTGTCTCTCTGCGAGAAGAACAGAAGTTTCTAAAGGAGATCTGCACTTCAGCACTTTTACAACTCTCCCCAATTTGCTGATTCTTCTGGTTGGTGCATAGACTAGGGCAGGGTTCTTCAAACTTGGCCCTTTTATAACTTGTGGACTTCAACTCCCAGAATTCCTCAGCCAGCGTGCCTGGCTGAGGAATTCTGTGAGTTGAAGTCCACAAATCATAAAAGGGCCAAGTTTGAAGACCCCTGGCATAGAGGCTGCCTCTTGATCACAGCACTTACTCTTTTTAAGATTGGTGATTCTCTTCTCGGACAGGATCCTGAACCCTAAACCTACTTAGTTTTTTTTTTTAAAAAAAAATCCCTTTTTCTCACCTTTTAATTTTCCCTTTGCTGCCAAAAAACAAGCCAATAAGCAACAACAACAGAGAAATGCATCTTCCTCCAGCTCCTTTATTGAATAAACTAAGGCTAGCTCTCCCTAGTAGTCAGAATAACATGAGTATTGTTTTTAACAGGTCCCTCCACAGGGGGCGCTCTAGTAAGAGCCATTGGCTTCCCTTGGCTCATGGTCATCATTGCAGGCATCAACCTCGCATATGCGCCTCTGTGTTGGTTTCTACGGAGCCCCCCAGCCAAAGAGGAGAAGATTGTGAGTTTGGCCCCAAATGGGAGGGGGTGGGTTCCTGGTGGTTGAATCCCAAGGGGAATAAAAAAATATCCAGAGGATGGTTTGTTTATTTATCTATTTATGGTTGATAATAATTAACTATTTTTCTTAATAATTAAGGTATTTGTATGATTTGTAATTATTAAATAATTATCTAATCTCTTTAAGATTGATGCCAGGCCCAGCCCAAGAATGACCATAGAGCTGGGGTCCTCAACCTTGGCAACTTTAAGACTGGCTGAGGAATTCTGGGAGTTGAAGTCCACAAATCTTAAAGTTGCCAAGGTTGAGGATCCCTGCCATAGAGCAATCCAGCCAAAGTTTAGTTCCTTATTTGCTCATATCATATAGAGAGAACTTCAGCCTCTACCACTCTCATCCCAACCGATATATCCCAGCAGATTCTAGGGAGTGGCTACCCTAAATCCCTTCCTCTTTCTCCGATCTAGCTCCAGGCTGTGTTGTGTCTTATCTTGCCCACCCCCCACCTCCTCAGAATGCAGTTCCCTCCATCCTGAGAAACTGCCACCTTCACGCCATCCGCCCCCCTTTGCAAACACAATCCCTCACACTTGGTTTTGCTTTACTATTTGCAAGATATATCACAAATTACCTCACACCTTTGATAACAACTGTTTTCTCCTCCAGTGGTTGTTATTTTCTCCCTCACATTTTGTTTCCGTCCTCAATTTTGAGCCTATTGATGACTGTGCTACTAAAGCATCTTGGCTTGAAGTTCAAGGGCTGAGGAAATAAAGTGATCAGGGAGCGTTTTAGATGCCATAACACAGGGGTCTTCAAACTTGGCCCTTTTATGACTTGTGGACTTCAACTCCCAGAATTCCTCAGCCAGCGTGCCTGGTTGAGGAATTCTGGGAGTTGAAGTCCACAAGTCATAAAAGGGCCAAGTTTGAAGACCCCTGCCAGAACAGGTCCTTTGAGAAACAAATTCTAGATCAGTGTTTCTCAACCTTGACAATTTTAAGGCATGTGGACTTCAACTCCCAGAATTCCACAGCCAGCATTGCTGGCTGTGGAATTCTGGGAGTTGAAGTCCACAAGTCATAAAAGGGCCAAGTTTGAAGACCCCTGCCAGAACAGGTCCTTTGAGAAACACTGTTCTAGATTGATATCACCGGGTATGACAATGATGCTCATGCTGGTCTTTTGCTTCCTATCTCCCTGTCTCTGATTCCCCTCTCTCAGGCGATTCTAAGCCAGGAGTGTACTATGCAATCCAGACGTTCCATCACTCAAAAGACACTTCAAGACTTTCCACTCACAGACAACAGCGATGAAGAAAATGAGACTGATTTCTAAAAAGAGGGATCCACTTCTCTCTTTCTCTCTCTCTCTCTTCCAAATCCTCTTCTATTAACTGTATCCTGTATTTTTTTTCCTGGCAAAGTCCATTCTTGTAGCTTGCGGAGTGACCAAATAAGAAGAATCTTTGAGACCTTTCTTTCAGAATTTTATGGCTGTAAGCTCTGTTTATTTAGGGCAGGGGTCTTCAAACTTGGCCCTTTTATGACTTGTGGACTTCAACTCCCAGAATTCCTCAGCCAGGCACGCTGGCTGAGGAATTCTGGGAGTTGAAGTCCACAAGTCATAAAAAGGCCAAGTTTGAAGACCCCTGATTTAGAGAGTTATTTCCAGTTCTGAGAGGGAGGCCTACTGTACTTTAGGCCTTTCTTCTCTCATCTCAAAACATTATTTGACAGAAAAAACTTTAACACTCTTAGCTGCTTCACTGCTTTTAACAGGAGCTTGCACACAGCTCTCCACGTGATTATTGGCACTATAGCAAAATATGCATTGTAAAAAGAGAAAATTGCCCTCAAGTGGAGCTCAGCTCTTAAATGTCCTTGGAATTTTCTCAGCAACAGACTGAGCTATTTGTCCACTTCCCAATCAATGCCGCAACCTAACCCAGCTCCAAGCATTTATTGGCAGAGTGGTACCTGTCATAAGATTGTCATGATCTCTTAGTGACAACAAATAGCTCACAATGTCATTGTGCAAAATATTGGAAGTGCAAAGTCTGACAGTTTTGATTCTCTCTCCTTGAAGATGCCCATGTATAAATGATGCTGGAAGCAAACTTGAAGATTAGAGGCAGCATTTCTCTCGTTCTCAAACATCTCGTCTTGCACAGTTTTTGTGATACTTTGGGCAATCCTAATAAAGATATTTCTTAGTTATGTTTCCCCTCCCACTTTTTAAATTCTTTGTTAATTCCTTTTATATTCTATAAAATTGTGTTTAGGCCCTCTTGTGGATGAATTGATCAGTGCAGGCTCATCAAACCTGCGGTATGTACGAGCTATTTAGTGAGCTAACTTTTAATAAGCTTAGAATGTGAATGCTCACCCAAGCTGATGGAAAGCAAAGAAGGTATACTCAGAGGCACTCTCGTCCATTAATTTCTTTGGGCTGCTTGCATGTGGAGCAGGGAGGGAAAGAACCATTATATCAGGGATGTCAAACTCACAATGTCACGTGACGTGTTGTGATGTATTGTGACTTTTTTGCCATTGCCAGCAACAGGGTGGACATAGTTTTGCTATGATGCCCACGGGCCAGCAGTTTGACATCCCTGCATTATACTGTTTGTTCCTGAAATAAAAAAAAACTTGTAATACAACATGCTCAAGCCTGTTGCCTTATGATTCCTTTGCCAATTTGGTTCGAGAAGTGGAGCACCAGTAGGGTTGCAAGGGATCTGAAAAAGCAAAAGAGGATGTGGACAGTTAGAAAAGAGGAGAAATTGGAGAAAAGGAGGATGCTCAAATGCTTTTAACTTTCTTGGCCTCTGCAACAAAAATTATGTGAAAAACTGCCCCTCTCAAAGACCTATAAGAAATTACTTTTTCCGGCACCAGAAAGACTTGGGTTTTCAATCCCAGAAAAGGTGCTAGAGCATTACCCATAAAGAAGAATAAAGATTATTTGTGACACAGGGTTGAAATAAAGACTTTGCACTAATGTTACCTAGTTTGGGTAATGAAACATTTACCAGAAAACCACCAAGCTCAGAGAGCACCAAGGACCCCTTGAATTAAGGTCCCTTACAGTATTTGCCTTAGCACTAATTAAGAAAGATTTGCCCCTCAGACAAAAGCTGCTCATGCAGCTTGTTAGATACTCAAAAAGCTGGACAATATTTGACTTTGAGGCGATGCCTGCCAGATGGAGAACATGGACTCTTTTTGCCAGATGTTTAGTCACTCTAAGCAGGAGAAGCAACTGCAAGGATTTCTGCCATCATCCAAGAAGCTACTTCCGCTCCAATTGGATGCTGGGGAATGGAAGTGTTGAAGGAAAAGTCTTCATCCTGGTTCATCCAAGCCGGGGATAAATAAACATGGCGACTGCTTTAGAAAGAAGGTTGCAGTTTATTGAAGAGCCAGAAAGATGGTTCTTGCAGGAAAGTGGAGAGACAAAGAGGCTGAGCACATATGACAAGCAGTTTTTTATACCCACTGAAGCCTTTTGTTTGGAATAGTTTCCTGTTCCTGTTTTAGGCTTCGTATTTCCTGTGTCACGTATTCTGACCTGAGTCTGTGTGTGCCTTTCTGGTATTGATGGTGATGGGTTAGTCCTATTATGTCCCAAGGTCACATCCTGCTTCCTTGGGGCTGATGACTCTTAGAGTTTGGGTGGGGTATGTAGATTTTAGGTATCTTTGTCTTCTTGATCTCCTAGCTGGGGCCTTTCTGATGCTTTACATCTGCATTTGTACAGAGCTGGCTTCTGCTTGGGACAGGGTTGGTTTCTGCTTTTAAAATCCTTTTGAGGAAATATATTTTTCTGCCCTTTTAATAGTTCCTTCTCTGGGGGAGGGGCTGACTTCCCTCAGAAGGATTTGGATTAAATGACCATCTTGTCTACAAGGAATATAAATCCTTCCATTCCCCACCATCCAGTTAGAACTGAAGGAGCTTCTTCGGTGAGAAGCGAAACGTCTTCCAAGAAAATCAAGAAAGTCCAGCTGCCTCCTGAAAAAGCACCTTTGGGATCTAGCTAGCTTTCTTTTCTGCCCAGTTATGGGAAACTTTGGACCCCTCTTTTGCATCTTCCCAGGAACAAGCGCTACCTGCACATCCACAACCTGCTCCTAACCAGGAGCATGAACGCGCCCCAGTTTGCTTTTTCCTTCCGTCTCTCTCTGAAAGCTGCCTCGGTCTCCTTCCCAGCCGGTCTCAGCCATTGCTTAAAAGTCTTTCCAACTTTCAGGTGGTGTTTCTCTCTTATCCTGGCACAACATTGACCCCAAGCTAAGAGAAAGGAGCGCCTTTCATTTAATTTGAGATGCCTTAAAATCAGTGTTTTCTCAACCTTGACCATTTTAAGGCATGTGGACTTCAACTCCCAGAATTCCACAGCCAGCAATGCTGGCTGTGGAATTCTGGGAGTTGAAGTCCACATGCCTTAAAATGGTCAAGGTTGAGAAAACACTGCCTTAAATAGGATATTTTTGGTCAGGGCAGATAAGTCCCCAGGTGGGGCTGATTTTGCTTGGAAGAAAACTGGAAAGAAGCGAGCAGCAGAAAGTTACTTTGAACCCGCCAGCGCACCGCGGCGCGCGCGTCTTCCAAAATCTAGGGTGGAGCATGCGCAGTCGTCGCCCTGCCTCGCGGAGCTTGGTCTTCGGAGGTCTCGCGAGATTTCCGCGACGAGGCTTCCACCCTCGCATGCCCGACGCGTTTGTTGGATTCGCGGCGGTGAGATGCATTCAGACGACGTGAGTTTGGGTGGGGGGAGGGGAGAGGTGCCTGGGGGGGGGGTCTCGAGTGGTGTGGGGAGGAGTTATTCTGGGAAACGAGGGTTCCGGGGATCGCCGCTCCCGGATGGGCTTCCTCCTTCCACGTGGGAGCGGAGGCTGTTGGGGCTGGACGCGCTTGGGTTGCATTGAGCGTCGGAAGCCGCTCCTTGGGCCACGTGCTCAGCTTTTAGGGAGAGTACCTGCCATGAGCCCTCCTCTTCCTAATTAAAGCCTCAAGAGGAGAGAATGCTGGAGCATGTGCAGAATGCCCCGGCTTCATCCCCCGACTCCAGCATTAGGATCTGGGTGTGGAGAGTAGAGAAGGGCAACTCTGAGCATGTGCAGAATGCCCCGGTTTCATCCCCCGACTCCAGCATTAGGATCTGGGTGTGGAGAGTAGAGAAGGGCAACTCTGAGCATGTGCAGAATGCCCCGGCTTCATCCCCCGACTCCAGCATTAGGATCTGGGTGTAGAGAGTAGAGAAGGGCAACTCTGAGCATGTGCAGAATGCCCCGGCTTCATCCCCGACTCCAGCGTTAGGAT